CGGGGACCCACCTCCGTGTTGGTAGCCACGTAGCGTCTTTGTCCTGAGCAATAGTGCCTGGCGCCCTCCAGCACCAGCCCCTCCCGGAACACCAGCATCGGGCGTTGTCTCCGCGTGGAGTCTCCTGAGCTATTCGCAAATGTGCCTTTCGCCCCCGGCGCCACCCCACGTCGCTAGGGGCAGCCGGGCCTCAGCCCCCCTTCCTGAGCACCAGCAGCCGCCCGGTGAGGGTCCGGCCTCTTTGGGGGGGTCTGAGTGCCTCAGTCCCCAGGGCCCCAAGCCCAGACTGCCTGCCCGCCCGGAGGGGAGGAGAAAAGCGGTACGATGCCTTCCTGACCTCGCCTGGCCCGGCCGCGGGCACCAGCACTCTGGGTGGACTCTGCGCTCGGGCCTCACCTCAAAGGTCAAGCTGGATGTCAGACGTCGAGGCCCAGGCAGCCGGAGGGGACCCCGCAGACGGCCGGCCTCGGCCTGTCAGACAGGCCGTCCTGGAGGCTCCGCCCGGTCTGTGGGGGCCCGGAGGAGCTCGGCTAGGACACCCCCACCCCTTTTGTAAATCTTGTTCATTGTAAATCAAATACAACTGTCTTTTTCACTCTGCTGGTTGGCTGGGTTCCTCCTGGGGCTGCAGGGCTGCTGCCCCTGCTCCTCGGCCCTGGCCCTACCCCTTCCTGCTCACGGCCTGCTCCCCAGTCCTGGGATCTCACCCTCAGGTGGACCTGTGTGGCCTCAGGCCCCACCTCCCGGTTCCTCTGGGCCAGGCCCATGGGGCGTGTGCAGAGGCTGCACTGAGTCCACCCCTGAGAAGAGGATGGTCAAGGGCTGGGAGGTGAGGCCTCTGGCGTGGAGGGGGGCTGGGCAGCTCAGGCCTAGGTGATCCTGGAGTGGGCTAAGGGTCCAGAGGGGTGCAGGGAGGCAGGCCCACCAGGCAGGGAAGTGTCGGGGGCATTGGGCTGGCCAGGCAGCCCCGGTGGCCATGACGTTCCCCCGCCTCCCATAGGCTGAGCCACCAGGAGTCATGGGAGAAGGCAGGTGTGATGGCAGCCTGCTGTCTGACCCTGAGCTCTCAGGGACCTGCTTCCTCCTTCCTGAGGTGGGGGTACCTCCCAGGCATGGTCTACCCAGAGCCCATTTAGTAAGCCCCTGCTGTACGCAGACCCCACTGGACACTGGGGTGGCTCTGGGATAGAGGCCCCTCCGTCCTCCTCCTCGAGGCTGTGGGGCCATTCGGGGAGCTCCTCTGCCCCTTGAACAGCCCAGGATGACTCGGGACATCGCAGGGCTCAAGGACGCTGTACCCAAGAGCCAGGGGCTGATGCGGAGGAAGGGGTTGTCTGGAAACCGAGGGGGGGTTGGGTGGGGGGGTGGCGGGGTTTGCTCCCAGTCTCCATGTCTGATGCAGAGCTGAGATGTGCCACCTGCAGGCATCAGGCAAGGCGTGTGCTGTGTGCACAGACGCAGCATCAGCGTGTCCGGCCCCTGATGCGACACGCACTGTCCTGGGCACGAGGGGCTCTGCCCCACTGATACCACCCACTCAAGCAGGAAGGGGTTTGGGGGCTCCACAAGCTTCAGATATGGCTAGATCCAGGCGCTCACACGTCCGGGTTCCACCCGTCTGCTGGTTTACCCTCGGGTAGCAGGGCTGCTGGTGGCAGGCAGCTCCAGCCTGTGTCTCCTCCACGTGGGGCACGCGGGGAGGTGGGGGGGGCGAGTCTCGGTGGGTGAGGCCTTGATCATAAGCCACTTGGAACAAGGGTGGGTGTCTCCCACAGGAAGGGGTTCTAGGCTCACAGCTGACATCCCCACCCAGGGACCCCTGCAGTGACAGTGCCATGGCCCATACTGAGTCCCCTTCCCAGAGACCAGCTGGTCAGGAAACCTGGACAAGAGGCTGAAAAGCGTCCCAGCTGGTGTGGCTCGGTGGATAGAGCGTCAGTCCTTGGACTGAAGGGTTGAGGGTTCGATTCTGTTCAAGAGCATGTACCTCGGTTGCAGGCTCTGTTCCTAGCCCATGTTGAGGTGCGTGCAGGAGGCAAGCAATCAGTGTGTCTCTCACATCGATGCTTTGTCTCTCCCTCTCCCTGCCACTCTCTCTCAAAATCAGTGGAGAAATATCCTCGGGTGAAGAATAGCAACAAAAAAAGAAGATGGGGAAGTCAGTGAGAGCCCCACCCCTTCCACTCTGAAGGGTGGAGATGGGGTAGGACTACCCCCTTGGAGAGAGGAGGGGCCCCAGGCCTGTCCTTTCCGGCGGTGGTGAAGGGTAGAAACGGTGTTGGGTGCACGGGGTGGGCAGGCCTGCCTTTAGGGGTCGCGATGTTTTCAGGGAGGGCCCACCGGCACCTCCAGCTTTCCTTCCACGCAGCAGGCTACACCCCATTTGCTTATTAAGAGCATGAACCCCACCCTAACCAGTTTGGCTCAGTGGATAGAGCATCGGCCTGCGGACTGAAGGGTCCCAGGTTCGGCTCTGATCAAGGGCATGTACCTTGGTTGCAGGCTCAGTCCTAGTAGGGGGTCGCCTAAGGCCATCCTGCTTATCAGATATTTACATTACGATTCATAACAGTAGCAACATTACAGTTATGAAGTAGCAACGAAAATAATGTTATGGTTGGGTCACAACATGAGGAACCGTATTTAAAGGGCCAGAAGGTTGAGAACCACTGTCATAGATGTTTCTAATTCTCTGTCCCTCTCCCTTCCTCTGTAAAATCATGAAAAATATATATTTTTTTATAAAAAGGAAAAGCATGAACCCCGCCCCACAGACTGACAAGCATTTCAGGAAGTTCATTGTGACCTCAGGGAGAAGTGCGCCCAGACTGGCCGGGGCTGGGAAGGGGTGACCTGGCCAGTGGACGGGCAGTGGACGTGGAGAGAAGGGCTGGGCTCCACATTCAGGGCTGGCAGTGATTCACACTGAGGCGGAGGGAGGCCAGGGCTCGGGCCTGGGCAGGAGGCTCTTCCCTCCCCGCCACCCTCATACTGTGATCCTACAGCTTCTGGCTGCTGCGCCCGCCCCACACCTCTCAGCACTCGGTCATCCCACCTGGACAGGGCAGCCTTGACCTGGTGGCCTGATGACACCCACCATGTCCAGCAGAGCTCCCTGAGGGCAAAACTGAAATCGGCCCGGCCCGTGTGGCTCAGTGGTCGAGTGTCAACCTCTGAACCAGGTCAGGGTTCCATTCCGGGTCAGGGCACATGCCCTGGTTGCAGGCTGGATCCCCCATAGGGGGCATGTAGGAGGCAGCTGATCAATGATGCTCCCTCATCATTGTTTCTTTTTTTTTTTTTTAATATATTTTATTGATTTTTTAGAGAGGAAGGGAGAGGGATAGAGAGTTAGAAACATCGATGAGAGAGATACATCAATCAGCTGCCTCCTGCGCACTCTCTACTGGGGATGCGCCCACAACCAAGGCACATGCCCTTGACCGGAATCGAACCCGGGACCCCTCAGTCCGCAGGCCGACGCGCTATCCACTGAGCCACACGGGTCGGGGCTAAAAGCTTGTTTTTAATCTGACCAGGCCCCGCCCAGCCTGCCCAGCCCTCGGCCATGGCCATCACCTGCCTATTCCTTGAGTCACGCTCGGCCCTAAGAGCCAGGACGGTCCGGCGTCCCCTCTCCAGCGGGGGTGAGGACCTGAGCTCCTCCCCAAGCTCCGCGGTCACTCCGCCCCGTGACAACCCAGACCCTCCCGGAGGCAGCGCGGGGCCGGT